GCATTTGAATCCATAGGAAAAGAAGATTTTGCAAGAGAGCGGTCTTGATTTGCCCAGATGAGAAGTTTTCTAACACATTCCTCCCCCTCCCACCCCCGCCCCCCAGAAAAGCTGGTGCATTTCTGTTTTCTTCCCATCACTTAAACACAAATCCGCAGATCTGCCTTACCATTCCCGCACTCAGAGAGAGATGGGACTTTGCTCAGCGGGGTCCAAGGTCCATCGCGCGCAGCCACACCTATTCCTCCAAGCAACCTGGGCGCAACGCGGCGCCTGCCAGAACCGCGCCGACCGCAGCGTCTGCTGCTGAGCTCAACGGCGCGGTGAAGTCAGATGTACAGAGAGAGCCCCGTTTCCTCTCCGTACCGCTGTGACTTATGTAAAATGCAGTTCCTGAATAGGCACACCGAAATAGAAATTGTTTGCTGCTTAAACGACATCCTGCTCTTGTTTCAGATATTACAGCCAGGCCAGCTCATACCGCCTGGAAATATCTCCGCTTCACATCTCCCTCTCTGCTTTACATCTCTCTCTTTTTTCCCCATGAGCTGCTCAAAGCCTGGGCTGCAGCCTGCACAAATTAAAATACAGCCCATTATACCAGAGAATTACTGAAAACACTTGCTAGGGTCAAAGTCTCCCATTTCAGTAAAATTCCACCCCCAAGAGCTGAAAAACTCATCACTGTGACAGGCTGTGGGATCCTGATTTACAGCTAACCTGAACTTCCCCTGCTCTGCTAGTGTTCCTTCCACCGTGCGTGACTGCAAGAGCACAGGTTGCTATTCCCCGTTTCACCCTTTTCGCCAAAGGATACTGGAAAAGAGGAGCATCAATCCAGGTTAAACCTGAAGAAATCATTGGGACTGGCCCAAGTTAGCTGCTGGCTTGCTAACGCCCATGGGCTCCAGTTCCCTTCAGAAAGATGCAGCAGCAGTTAATTTACCTCTGTTTCAAAAATCCGAGCTCAGCACCTTAGATGTAACCGGCAACCTCGAGAGCAGCACCAGAGCCTCCTTCATGTGCCAGTACATACATAATAATCAGTACATACATAATAAGTCACAAGAGTCAGCTCTCCCAATCTAATAACCTAAAAAGACAGGATTTCCAGCTCTCCAAATGATTCTGGTGGCTTTAAATACACTTCAGTCACTCAACATCCTCCATGCACCATGCAGGCATATTCAGGCAAGCCCTCCCATTCATTCTTCCCCAGTTTTCCCACCCTAAATAGTTTCACCCAGCTGGCTTTCCACGATTTCCACAGTCCTGTCTAAAACAAGCCCAGGTTGAAAACACTGGTCTTGTAAAAAAAAAAAAAAAAAAAAAAATGTACAGTTTGGAATTCTATAACATTGCAAAGGGACCCAGATCATTTGCCGCACCCCACATTGCATCTTTGGCCAGAGCATGCTTTGTCGTTCTGTGATTCATATTCAAGGGGTAGCCTTGTGTTTAATTTCCCATTTTTTACCAGATCAGGATCCCACCTTATACAGCCTTGCACTTCTCAGAGAGGGTGCAGATGGGCACTGAAGTGTGTCTCCCCCAACTGCAGCAGACACACGTTCCTTGGGATATCACCGCAGGGATCCCTCGAACTCTGGGCATGCCTTTGGCTTGGATTTCCTGCCTGAGATTTGACATGCAGATCTGGTTACCTTCCAGAAGTGCAAGAGGCAGGGAGGGTTTGAGAGGGGGAGAGGCCACTCTGACACAAAGCTCCTGCTTGCTCCTTTCCAGCAGCTATCACATGCACAGCTGAGAGGACTTGAACAGATAACGGAGATGCTGAGCTTTATAAATCATGCAACAGGGGAAGGAAGCAGAGGAGGGCAGAGAATACACAGGGCAATTAAAAAACAGAATACAGGAGCTTACAACGTTTGAGGCTTGGATTTGTACTTCTCCTTCTGCTAGCAGCTGGCAAATGTGGAGAAACCAAAATGGAGATGAGGGAAAGAAAGGATTTTGAAACACTCCTAGATCTGTCCAGAGGACTACACTGCTCCTCCCTGTACCCAAAAGGTTTTATGTAGCACAGGTTAAGCTGAAACAAAGGTTTGGAGTCTGGAGATGCAAGGGGAATTTCACTTGGGGTGAAGAATTAAGATGGTAGATGGGTTAAAAATTAAATGACTGCATGATCTGATGTGGTGAAGAGGAAAACAAATAGCATTTCAGTTTCCAACTCTGGGCTTTTTTAAGTGGCAAGATAGGAAACACAGAAAAGTGAACGACTTTAATTTTAAAAGAAAAAATCTCTCCTAAAAGATTGGCCAATAAACCACAACCTTTTAAGAATGATGCACTGACAGAAGCAGCACGAGATATTCCCTGTTAGTTTCAGACAAAAAAACACAGGGGGAATCCAAAAGATGTATTTCCTCCCTGTCCAGGAGTGTGATTCTCTCTCCTGCTTGAGCCATACCCTCTATTCTTTACTGTATTTACTTATTTAATTATTAATAATGGATTGAAGTAGACTCCATCCAGACTTTTGGGGTTTTTTTATTGATTATTATTTTATTTATTTTTAAAATAATCATAAATCTGGCTTGTCCTAGATCAAACACAGCAAGTCCCTGCTATCATCCAGAGTCAGAGATTGCAGTCACAGAGAAGAGAGCCAAGATTTGGGACCCGCGTGACATCCAGTTGCATTTGTAATTGGCACAGCAGCTCCATGTAACCAGTCTGCTTTTGTCACCCCGACACTGAGCTCCAAAAAGAAACTGTGCCTCGCGAATGGTAAGAAAAGGGGAATATTCTGTCTCGGGTGAAGCACTGCTCTGTCACAGACTGATTCCTGGCAAGAAACACCCAGGACAGTCCCACCAGCCAGCACCACCTCCCCAGTGAGGAACGAACCTGGCTCTTTTCCTGGAGATCCAATTCCCAACATTGTCATTTTTTGTAACACTCTTGTTTTCTGTTCCCTCTGGCAACAAGCCGCAGCAGCAGCACCATACCGGGCACATCTCAAGCTCATTTCTCCTGACTGGTTCCAGCAATGGCGGGTGTCAGGATGTGCTGTGCTACACGCCTTTGTTACCCCAAGCAAGCATGTTCAGCAAATTTCAGAAGCTATCTATGGCACTGCCTTTTGAAGGTGGCATTAATTATGATGAAAACAGCTCAAGATGCAAAATAGCATCACTGTTTCCTTTCTTGAAGAAAGCACATGAAATAAATTAACCATTGAGGTTTTGTAGGCTAGAAGGAACTGTTAGGATCTTTTAGCCTGACCCTCTGCATAAGAGAGACATAAATTTCAGCAAAGATTCATCCCTCGTGCCAAGAAACTGAAGGCCACGCTAGAGCATTCCACACCGAAGAACTTTTAAGTCATCATTGCAAGTACAAGTCCAGAGGATCCTGGTTCCCCTGGTGAGCCCCTTCCATAGCCAACTACCTTCCCAGCTTTTAGAAGAAGACCAGCTGTCATCTTCCCTTTCCAGTCTCTTTCCTCTTGTAATTCAACTAATTTTCCACTCCATTTCAGACCAAGCATACCTTAAATGTCTATAATTATCTTTCAAACAAGCACGTAGAAAGGACTGTATAAACAGTCACAAGAGGTACAGAGTAGCTTTATATAGGATGAAACAGGCACAAATGAATTATTTTCCTTTTTTGCACCAACTTTTAAAACTCCCTAAAATTGCTCCTTCTGCCATCCTAAGAGAGACTTACTGCAAAACCAGAGTTTCTTCAGTGCCTGGCAGGAATTTACCCTGTAAGAACTTTTTTCCCTTTTAATTGTTAGAGCCAAGATGAACAAAACAAAATCTACAAACTCACTTTTTTCTTTCTCTGCTTTGAAACTAGTTTGAAAACACATGCAAGTTTTCTTTAAAATAAGCAATTAAGTATAATTACGGAAGTCAAACAGTCAGGCTTCCTCCTTTTCCAGCAAGATATCAAGTATCTCACTTCAGCTTAAGATCTAGAAGGAAAAAAGGATGGTTACATGCCCTTGCTGCAGTTGAAGTGATTTGCTAAGCCCCCAGCCCCCAAGACTATGCCATAACGAGGTGGCTTCATCTACATCCATCCATCCAAGGAGCCCATTGAGCTGTGCCACCAGAGAACTCCTTGGGCTGATGAGCTCTGTCTCTGTGAGGGACCACATAAGCATAACAGAAGTATCGGTGGTGGCTCTTCCACTATGAACAAACACATTCCCACAGTTTGCTCAGGGTCTAGAAGAGTATGGGTGTGTCTCAGAGTCACCTTTGAGTGCAAGACCTCATCCATTCTTCAGACGTTTCGCTGCAGCACAGGAAGACCAGAGATGTTCCTCCAGCACTAGGTAAGAGTCATGTCATGACCTGAAGCTGCAAGCAATGCCTGCCCAGGGTAACACAACCCTGCTATGGGGATTTTAAGCAGTCGTGCACGTAGCCATCCCTCCCACTGCCACGCGCAGCTAACAACACCCTGGTTCCTGCATCGACATGCTCAGAGAAGCCACGCTTGAGACAAAAAAAACAAGAGCACCTTCAAAGCAAACAAACAAAGCAACCAGCTGGGTGTGCACAGCTTGCAAAACCTGCCATCTGATCCAATTGCTCCTCCAGCCGTCTGTGCAGGGGTTCGGTAGCCGGAGGAAGGGCTATGCTCTTTGAGCGAGGCACCCCAAGGCTCAGCTGCAGGCATCGAGGCGTTTAGGAGACAAGCACATGGAGCACAACACATTGCCTACAGCCACAGGGGGTAAAAGCAATGCCAGCACCTACCTCAGCCACCTGGCAAGGTTTATGGCTCTGCCAGAGATCCCTGTGACGGATACCACGTGTTCCCTGCCCTCAGTTTCCCTGCCCTTTCTCATACAGGCTTTCTAGCACACAGATGCTTTCAGGATGACTCAGAAGCAACAGAGTTGGCACAGCTCGAGAACGTGAAACAGCCCCTCCAAGGAGCAGAAAATGCTCCATGCCCCTCAGGACAGATCACAACTGCAAGTGGAGGGCAACAGTAGGGCATGCTTCTGGCTTGGAGCACAGCTGGTCCAAGCCACCCAGACAAGGAGACACCCTGACATGTCAAGGAGCCCCTGCCTCCACTCCCAGCCCTCACGAAGGCAGAAAGGAGACTCTGAGAACTGCCAGGGACACATCCTTGCTCCCAATACAAAGGACTCTGCACAGCTGCTCCTCACTGAGCAGGAGGTCCCAACACTGCAAGTGGAAGATGCTGCTGGGATAGACCTTTCTGAGTTTGGGTGCCATCACCCTTCTGGCCTACCCAGTGACCTCTGCTCTGCCGGGGAAGGAATCGGGTTTTAGAGGACTTTCAGCAAGCAGCTTGGTGTTTCCTAAATGATCCCTGTTTGAAAGCATCATATCATCTCTGCTGGGCCTGTACCACACCTCTTGCGGCAAATACAACCCCAAGCCACAGGCTGAGAGGAGATACCATGTGGTAGCAGCCATGAAAGAAAGTTCATAGGGTCAAAGCTAAAGCACATCTTAGTGTTCTCTTCCATTTTAAAGGCAATAAAGATCATCTGTGTGCTCATTTTCTTGCAGACCTTTTCTTTCCTCTGACTCCAGCAGGCATGCAGCATCACAGCAGAAAGCCCAGCATTAAGGAAAACTAAAGCCTCTTGTTCATCTCTTCCCTTTCCTTGAGAAACCTAATTTGTTCACCACTTGGTCAATTTAAAACACTAGTTCCCTGGGCTAGCCAGCTCTAAAACCATTGACAATTTGGTGTGAGAACAAAACAGAGGATGGGCCAGCTCAACCACAGTCTGGCTGATGCATCAGCTTGACCATGGGCCCCAAGAGCAAGTTCTGCTTCAAACACCCATCTCTTCTTGTCTCAACTTCTAAATCAAGGAGCTGGAGTAAAATCTGTTGTGCAATGCGCAGTTCCAGGTAACAAAACTGAAGCACGCAATAAAGCAAATACAGGACACATGCAGAATGTGAGAGTATCCCTCCCCAGTACGCTCAGCTATCCTAATCCATTAGTTCCATGGAAAGGAAATAAATTTTTCTTCTTCCTTCCCAGACAGACAGCTCTCCCTCATTCATGTTTGTTTTCTAGGGCTTGCTGTCACTCTGCCTGCAAACCTGGCTTC